AAGAAAAGCTGAAAAACTATGTACCAGTCTCATAAGACGGTACGGATCAAATATTCCCTTATAATTTCTGCTTATGCAGCAGAATGGCTTGTTCAGTGGCAAATAGCCTATCAGTAAATCCAGGAGCGTCTATGTTGACTAAAAAAAAGATAAAATTACCCCATGCCATGGTTGTTTGATGTGTTCAATTGTGAAGCACTGGCTTTCCATTAAAGCAAATTATCAATGACGAGAAAGAGTTACAAAGTAAATCATAAGCAAAATGTGTACAGCAAAATTAGACCCGCACAACCAAAGCATACCAGATTCTGTAACACATCCCAGAAGTTTGATGACGTAAGGATGTGGTTTTAGCTGCTTCATTGTGTCAAGTTCTTTCATCAAATCTCTCTTGGCCGATTCAGTAGCGTTTGCTGGAGCGTTAAAAGAAATTAAAATTTGGTTAGTGGGAATAATAAACCAAATGTCGAAATAACAAAATAAGCTCTGTAGGCCTAGACTTTCAGTTAATTTACAGTACAGGAGCTCACCTTTAAGCATTTTAATAGCCACTGTGGTCGTTTCAGGCCTCCCTCGAAGTCCTACAGCGGTTCCCTTGGCAACCTGACCAAAAGCACCTTTACCAATGACTTTTTCTATGTTCACGTGACGTCTTGGAACTTCCCAGGAGCGCGTTGATGGATGAAGAGGCGCGTAATCAGCACCTGAACCAGCAGTTTGTGCTTTTCTATTATCTTTGCTGACTATGAGATCCATGTATTCCGTAGAAGGCTGTCTGAGGTTTCTTGAATCGGGCTGACTTGGTTCGATATCTTCCAATTCCAGTTCATTCTATTAAACAAACATACCCGTTAAATTATTCACATATTCATATAGCCACACAGCCACAAAATCGGTTTACCCATTTTCATCAGACTAACGATTATCTTCTGCCTTGAAAAGAGATTATAACCAGTTAATAATCTTTTGTTCTTTATCATTACTAAGAATAACTAACAAAATGTGCTCTGATATTGAAACTTTCATGTCCAATGGAGTGATCGAGGTTCGTAACATGTTTCCCGGAGCTACAAACCGCAACTCAGATTGTTGATCAATGCTACAATTCTAAGAAAGAATGTATGAAAGAATGTGCTGACCCGTTAGCGATCTACGAAGTAAGGCCACAGAGTTAAATCAGGGAAAGCCGAATGAAAATCCATCGAGTAGCTCGGTCAAGGACATGATCCCGGGACAAAGACCGTATCGAGTCAAACTTCCTCCTTCATTTCATTGTATCTGCCACCCGTTTAAAATGTGCTTTTCGTAAAACTTCTCCTTTTTTTCCTCTTAATTGTGACAAGTGCTTAGAGCAGAAGTAAAGCGAGATTACATAATTTCTGGCCACACCAACATGACCTCAATGTCTTAGCTGTAACTTACGTCGTAAACACCTCTTTTATCTTCAGAAGTCCTACAGTTGAGAAAGCATACGAATATGCGTAAACAATTAAGAATTTCATTAGTTTTTTAAGTGGAATTTTAAGTTGAGATGATATCATATATGGTGCATACCTCAGTTTCCCTAATGAGTCTGAAAAAAGAACAAGAGAGAAAAAGACAAATGATAAGCATGTGAGTAAAAAATTTGCTTTTCTTTAACAATGGATCTTACAGCCAAACCACGTAACATAGATAATGAATTTTGACTTACCTTTCTTGTGAAGCCAGATTATGTAAATTATTAGAAGAAGGATTATGAAGGCAAGAACCCCAATTATGGCTAACAAAACGTTGTTAGATGGGCAGTTAAATTCCTCAGGACCTAAAATGATTCATTTTATAAGCTTAATGAAATAACATTCACAAAACATTAACCCTGAACCTGGTCGACATACTGCTCTCATTACATGGCTTAGGCTTGTGACCGAAAAAAGAGGTTAACTCTGATTTGCTAGGTACTAGGGAAAA